GTTAGAATAGAAAAAGAACAAAAATGCCCGACTCCACGAAAGGCAGTCTGAAACAAGTTTCCTGACACAGCCACCTGCCATTTCATTAGGATTCTGGGTTCTGTCTCATTAAACAGAAGAGTTGATTCAGTTGAGCCCATCTAATTATTCTTATTAAAATATGTAACCATAATATTTTAATTGTAAATTAAAGTTGCACGCATGAATGACTCTGAATTCATTTTAATTTTACAATGGCCCGATGCCAGAGCCTTTTTATGGGGAAGATCCATCACATACTGTTCTCCTGGGAATCCAAACCAATGTGCAAATGGAACATGTTTAACTAACAAGGGAGACTCTCGCTCCCGGTTCTCCTCTCTCTAGATTTATTACAATAATAAAGCTATTTTAACAAGAGAGACTACATTTGGTTACCCACACCCCACATCTATAAAAAAAAAATTACCAAACTTCTAGGCTGGCACTACCAGTTAGGTAGAACCGACCCATCCCTCCTAGACTATCTGAATTATAAACAAGGATGGTAAATAGGTCTCAATTCATGTGCCAATGTCAAGATTAATTAGTAATGTCTGCTATGGGCACTGAGTGGAAAGTGCTTACACACACACCGATTCCTTGGTCTAGATTCTAGAACAATCAGTGATGTTGTATTAGGCCCTTACATATGCAGTCAGGTGGGAAATGAATTATTTGCACGAAACTACAACCAGGCACTAGGATATTTAAAGGCTCCACCAAAACCTCCCCATGTCTGACTGTACTGACTACAGGGTAGGTGGTGAGGTAAAAAACCTTTTTACAACTGGGGCTTTAGGAAATCCTCTTCTTCACTTTTTTTTTTTTTTTCTCTTCTTCACTTCTAAGCTGAGGCCTGAGGATAAAGAGGAGTTAGCCAGTCCACACAGAGTGAAGTCTGGGGGAGGAGAGATTATTCCAAGCAGTGGGGGGATAATTCTGTGAAAGCCCAGGGGCCCAGAGGGCACAGAACATTCGAGTCTGCAAAATAAGCTCCAAAATAAGAAGTGAGAAGTGCATCGGGGCAGAGGGAGGCGCAGAAGATGAGCCTGGAGAAAGAAGCAGGGTCCAATCACAGAAGCCCTTAGTAACACATTTAGGAGTTTTAACTCTGTTCTAAGAGCAATGCCATTAGGAAGCCCACAGATCGCTCTGGCCACAGGTAGACAGCGGCACTGGTAAGTGATGAGCGGCACTACATTACAACACATCCCGAACCCAGCCCGGCTATGCTTAGTTCTTCCTGACAGAGGCTAGCGTAAATTTCCAAACATTAAACCTCTCTCTTCTTACCACACTCTTTTCCTTTTCAGTTAGAGGACTTTCTAGTTTAAAATTCCTTAATGGTACAAGGACTCTGGGTGGCTCAGTTGGTTAAGGGTCCTACTGTGGGTTTCAGCTCAGGTCATGATCTCATGCTTTCGTGAGCTCGAGCCCAGCATTAGGCTCTGTGCTGACAGGGGGAAACCTGCCTGGAGTTCTCTCTCTCTCTCTCTCTCTCTGTCTCTCTCCGCCCCTCCTTTACTCACACGCTCTGTCTCTGTCTCTCTCAAAATAAATAAATAAACTTGAAAAAAATTACTTTAAAATTCCTTAATGTTATATTATTTTTAATGTTTATTTTTTCTTTAATAATTTTTTTAATATTTTATTTATTTTTGAGAGAGACAGACAGACATCATGAGCAGAGGAGGGTCAGAGAGAGAGGGAGACACAGAATCAGAAACAGGCGCCAGGCTCTGAGCTGGCTGTCTGCACAGAGTCCGACATGGGGCTCGAACCCACAAATGGTAAGATCATGACCTGAGCCGAAGTCGGACACCTATCCGACTGAGCCACCCAGGCACCCCTAGTTTTGAGATAGAGAGAGCACGAGCAGGGTAGGGTCAGTGAGAGAGGGAGATAGAGGGTCCAAAGCAGATTCTGTGCTAACAGTATCAAGTCAGATGCTTAACTGACTGAGCCACCCAGGCACCCCGATGTTATAATGTTATATAATTATTTATAATAAAAGACTTTTGCACGGTCAATAAAACACTTTCTTTATGTAGTTGGTTAAATCAGTTTTTGTGCTGTAGTTTTTAGTAATTGAAATGAGTCTGTAATAAAAATCAAGTGATTAAACCAAGTAAAAAATTTAGAAAATTAAAAGTTAAAAAATTTTAAAACAAACCCTCTAACTGGAAAAAAAAAGTCTTTGTTGCCTTCATTGGCAGTTTCCCCCTTATGAGAATGACTTTTATTTATTTTTTTAACTTATTTTATTTTGAGAGAGAGCACAAGGGCACACAAGTGGGGGAGGGGCAGAGAGAGGGAGCGAGAGTATCCCAAGCAGGCTCTAGGATGTCAGTGCAGAGCCCAACATGAGGCTTGGGGCTCGATCCCATGAACCATTAGATCATGGTCTGAGCCAAAACCAAGAGTAAGCAGCTAACCAGCTGAGCCACCCAGGCGCCCCTCCGCCTGAGAGAACAAGGTTTAAAATATGCCTTGGGAATGTGCCAGCAATCACACAGCCTCACTCCCTTGGCACTGCCTGCCCAGTAGTCAGGCCGAAGCAGGTGTGTACGAAGAGTCCACCTCCCCCAGAGAGAGGTCTGGCCTCTGCCTTCAGCTACTGGGAGGTGATCTCTAGGCCTCTAGAATATCCTGCCTGACAGGAGTACCTTTGCTGGCCTGAGCTTTGGCCACCAGAGAGGCCAACAATGTGAATATGATGGGGGTTCAGAACCACACTGTACCAACTGCGACCTTTGGAGGAACTGGAGACTAACGATATTAGCCTGACTGCAGGAGGAGTGGAGACTAAAAGTCAGCCACACGGGGCGCCTGGTGGCTCAGTCGGTTAAGCGTCCGACTTCGGCTCAGGTCATGATCTCATGGTTCATGGGTTCAAGCCCCGCATCAGCTCTGTGCTGACAGCTCAGAGCATGGAGCCTGCTTCAGATTCTGTGTCTCCCTCTCTCTCTGTCCCTCCCCCACTCACGCTCATCTCTCTCTCTCTTTCAAAAATAAACATTAAAAATTAAAAAAAAAAAAAGTCAGCCACACAGGGAGTATGTGACTGAGTCCCAGTAAAAACTGGACACCAAAAGCCCTGCTGAGCTCTGCTGTGCGTATTATCACACACCAATCAACTCCATACGGAGGAGACAAACAGGAGCTCCACATCTGGACGCCTCCCCAACTCTGTCCTCTGCACCCCTTCCTTTGGCTGGTTCTACCCCGTAATAAGCCATAACTGTGAGTATCATAGCTCTCTCAGTGACTTCTGTGAGTCTTATGAATTATCAGAATTGAGGATGGTTTTGGGAATCCCCGAAATTATAACTGGTGTCAGAAGTGAGAGAGATCAGGGGCGCCTGGATGGCTTAGTCGGTTAAGCGTCCAACTTTCGCTTAGGTCATGATCTCGCGGTTCGTGGGTTCGAGCCCCGTGTCGGGCTCTGTGCTGACTGCCAGCTCAGAGCCTGTGTCTTCCTCTCTCTCTGACCCTCCCCTGCTCACACTGTCTCTCTCTCTCTCTCCTAGAAATAAATAAAACATTAAAAAAAAAATTAAAAAAAAAAAGAAGTGAGAGAGATCAGGTGGGGACTTGTAGTTTGGCCAGCTTCACAGAGAAGGTATTTCCTGAAATAGGCAGCCTGATCCCAGTATTGTTTAATATAGAGACAGGAGAGAAGTCCTGGTGTTATGTGGGGTTAGCTCTGTGGGGAAGAGAGGGGGACTGACTGGGAAGGGACACACAGCACCGTCTGGAGTGCTGGAATCATCTATACTCTATCTGAGTGTGGTTACACAGGTGTATACATAAAGACTAATCTGCTGAGCTATACACATAAGATTACATTATTTTATGCATATTCATATATATATATATACAGTGAAATATATACAGTATATATACAGTGAATATATACAGTAATATATATATATACATATATATAATACTCCAAAAGTTAAAAACACTGTCTTTGAAAACAGGGGAGACAAAAAAATGTTTAAAAAAATAATAACAATAGAAAGAAAAAGAAAACGGGGAGCCTAGCCTGGAATTAAAAGGGTAGAAGTGAGCTGGAGTGATGAGAAGACTATGAACCCAAAGACAGGGCTGACAGTAAGAATGTGAGATCTAGCAAAGAAGCTTCTGGAAGGATTCTCTGGAATGGACTTTTTTGGGTTGTTTAGTGTTTTAACCTTGGGCAAGGCAAACTAAAGACCACGTGGCCGTGTGTGTGTGTGTGTGTGTGTGTGTGTGTGTGTGTGTTGTGTGGTCCCTACCAAGTCCCTCTGCCACTGTTCAGTCTCATGAGGCTCACCCAGTGACAAAGTGTGCGATACAGTGGTAGGCAGGGTAGGACAAATGGGTACTTTCAAGAGAGCGTCGCTCAGCAAAGGGCTGGTGTGGTGGTTACCCGACCCTCTGCCCAGTCAGATAAAGCCCAAGAAGCCAGGACTGGAGACCCGGGAGGTCAGACAGGGTTTAGGAAGGAACAGTGTTCTCCGAACTGTGTGAAAGCAAGCCAAGATATCTGAGAGGCAACAAGCAGGCTGAAACTGAAACTAATGGCGGACAGTTCCCCTGGGTTATTACCAGAGGTGGGGGGATTCACTCGTGAGGCAAGAGAGCAGAAAACCACGAAAGCCAGAGGGAGGCTGTTCAAAGCAGAGGGTGATAGTCAACGCCTGGGAGAAATGTGAGTCATGGAGAAAGATATTTTTATAAGCAGTGGGTGGGAGGAAGCAAGGACCCAGCTCCGTCACTGGAGTCAAGGAATGAGGGTCGAGGACGCATCAATGCTGGGCAGTGAGGGCCATGAAGCCGTGGGGACGGGAGGGCAGGTGTTCTGCTTTGTCGTTAACCCTCCTCTAGGATGCCCTGAAGTGTCCTGACTCTCCACGATGGTTAGTGAATGAAGAACTAACCTGCAGTGAGTCAAAACGCACAGATTATTTATCTTCGGATTTGTGAGGACATACCTCTTTCTGCTGTTCGGGAAACATCTTCAGCACAGGATATAATCAATCTGAAAAAGAAGATACCAACAGTCAGTGATCTGGAAGCAGGTATGTCTCTCACGGCCTCCCATCCAAATCCTCCAAGAGAAAATCTCTGTCTACCCACGGTCCCTGAAACATGAACCTCTGCTCCTCCTCCCTCCAGCCCACTCCTCACCAGACCAAGGTGAACAGCAGTCTGCACTGGGGCTTGGGGGTTCAGGACACGGTCAGTCTGAGGCAGCTGGATGATGACAGGCACTCAAACCCGAAGGCCAGGCAGAGTGTGGCTAGAGTTGGAGCCTTGGTGAGTCAGAGGCGGGAGGCGGGGGAGCAGAGTGACCACGCGTGTACCAGCAGGAGCTCCCCATTGGCAGAGAGACGGAAAGAATGCAGATGCCCAGAGAGAGCCACCACTGGGAACAGCGCTGATGGCTTTATCAGAAACTAGACCTTCAGGGAAGAGGTCATTGCCGTGACGAATGAACCACTCCAGTATTCAGACAAGCAATGGTGTGGCCCCACGAGGGATGATGGTCAGCACCTTGATACCAGTCAGTACAACCAACCTGAAGGGCGGTCCCAGGCCCTGAACATCCCTGGGACTGTCTGCTGTCTTTTAAACCCCACTTATGACATAAGCTCACTGAATGGGACACCTGCTCCCTATCAAAGAAAATTGAAATCCCGAACTATATTACATATCCTGCATATGTATTCTTACAGCGGAAAAGCGGCTATGACTGTGTGGTCGCTGTTTGTCTTTCTTTTGACCCTGTAAGTCCGATTCCATTTTCAGGATTTGCCATCCACATAAGGCTCTACTTAAACATCCTTGAGACTGTAGGGAATAGAAGGAAGCCTCCAGACCCACATGACGTTGCTGACAGGATGCCCCACAGCAGGCAGAGGAAAGGGCCTTCTGCAGGAGAAGAGTGGATTGCACGGGAGTGGCTGGAGAGTCCCCGAGGGGAAGGCACTTCCTGTCACCCAAGGAGGCACAGGAGGACCCATGGAGGACACAGGAATGTCAGCATTCCTGGAAGAAAGAGGGACCTCCGAGGACCACGGGTGGTGACAGCACACACGAAGGAGGGAGAGAAGCGTGATGGACAGTCCAGTGATGGTGGGCGGGCCAGTTCCACTGGTTGAACTGTTGCTGCCAAAAAGATATGCCCACGTCCTAACCTCCAGAACCTATCTGGAAAAAGGGGCCTTTGCAGACATAAATAAGAATCTCAGATTTGATCATCCTGAATTACAGGTGTGGGTTCCAAATGTAATGACAAGTCTCCTTATGGGAGACAGAAGAGGAGAAAGTCCACACACAGAGGGGAAGCCATGTGAAGATGGAGGCAGAATACTGCAGAGATGAAGACACAAACCAAGGACATCTGGAGTCCCCAGAGGCAAGGAAGAATGTTCCCCTAAGCCTCCAGAGGGAGCACGGTCCTGCCAACACTCTGATTTCAGACATCTGGCCCCCAGGATTACAAAAGAATAAATTTCTTGTTTTAAGCCACCAAGTTTGCGGGAACTCCTTTTGGCAGCCATCGGAAACCAATACAGAAAGGGTCTGTGGGGATCAGAAAAGACAGGCTGGGGTCGTAACTGTGAAAGGGGTGGGAATTCGTTCATTCGTACGTTACTCGATAAATATTTACAGCGCTCCTACCATGTGCCATGTGCTGGGCTAGGAGTGGGGCACACAGCGGACTACAGCATACACCTGAAATTCGAAAGACGACTTCATAACCATAATGTGGAAGGGACAGGAAAGGACTCCTGTTTCAAGAACGGAGGGACAAAATGCGGGGTGGAGTGGGGAGTTGGGAAGGCTTTACTGAGAAAGTGGCACGTGAGCTGAAGCCTACAGGGTGGTGTGGTTTGGCGTGGAATACAAAAGGAGAAACATTCTGCGCAGAGGGACTGGCATGTGCAAAGGGGCAGAGGCTGTGAGGAGCAGGTAAAGGGCCGGGTCATTGGAGGGATTCCTGCGTTGGATAAAACTTAGCCCAAGGGCTGCATCCATCTCAGGATGGGCTTGTTCCCTACACACACTGCTCTGCACCACAGAGCTGGGCCTCTGCCCAGGTGGGTCCTCTACCCTCATGCCTTCATCCCTTCCTGACCCCCCTGCATACCTCCAGTCCTTTCCCAGGATTCTGCTCAGAAATCACTTCCCCTCTCCTTGCCCCGGCTCTCTGCCCCGTTACAGCCCTCTGCCATCACAACCCTCACTTGCAGCATAATATTTGTATATTCTATCTCCCCAGTTGAGTCAATTTCTCCAACAGAGCGTATCTGTGTTCTCCTGTGTAATCAAACTTCCCAACTATCCTGTGAGGGAGATGTGAGAACCCTCACTTTACAGGTAAGAAACAGAAGGTCAGAGGGAACAAGTCGTCCAAGGTCACACAGCCAGTGGCAGGATTCCAGTCCGCTTTCAACTCAAGCCAGTCTGCTTCCCAACCCCGTTCTTCCCATTGCCCAAGGCTGCACCCATGACTGTGTCACATGAACCAATGGATTGAAGTTTGGGTCTTAATTCTCCTCAAAGGGCTTGAGCTTTTCCCACCCAGACAGAAGGACTCTGCAACTCCAGTAGGGTACAGATCACCCCAAGATGCTACATACCAAGTAGCACGGAAGTAGGAAACTGAAAGTTTAAACCAGCTCCGAAACTTCACACAGAACCACACAGTCAACCTTTAATACAGAGAGAGGCGGGGCGGTGGCAGAGGGGGGGGTGAGGACAATGGGGAGGGGGCTTTCGTTTTTTACTCTATATACTTCCATATTGGTTGAATTCTTCCAGTTAACACAAATTCATTTTATACTTTTTGAAGTAATGATGGTTTAAAATGAGCACCATAATTCTGTCAGAAATGGTCACTCTAACATAAATTACGGAAGATTTTTACTTCATGTGAAATAAATAGCAGATTCGAATTACAAAGAGACACTACCTTTGTAACAGAAGCTATCCGCTGGTGCTAGACCTTGCCATGGCACTTACTAATGAAGAGAAGGAAATTAACTGGTAGCATAACTGTATGGTTTAGATAAAAGGTCAGTTGTCTATAATTTAGCAAACCAAAGCCTCAATGAGAAGCTGCCCTTTGAAAACATGACGCCCCCCTGGTGGGCTATAATATTAGATTTGTTTAGATTTCCAAATTCCCCAGAAGAGCCCATATGTCTTTCATAATACTCTCCGTCGGGAGATTTTCATCCCAACAACAGTCTGCCTCCAGGTGACCGTCAACAAGACTGTTTTTGGAGCACTTTATCTCCCCACCACCAGTGGGGAACCACAGCACACCTGGATAATCACCCAGAGAGCCCTGATCTTTCCTACTTACCTTCCCAGAAAAAAATTATTAAATCTCCCCACTATTCTGAACAACAGGGATGACTTCTCAAACTTGTTGTCCAGGATAGAATTAGGTACACAGAGATGGCAGATACAAGGGTTGTCCCCCTGCTGGGAAATATGGCGGCCACAGAGACTCATCTGAGAGGCTCAAAACGTATCTATCACTGCCATGAGGGTATGAGTTGCCAAAACCAGAAACTTCAGGAGAAAACTGCCTCCATTTTCCACCTTGGAATATTTCCTCTGTAACATACAAAATGTCCATGGAACAAAGGTGGAATTCTATAGAGCAGGGGCTGGCAAATTTTTTCTATAAAGCACCAGAGAGTATATATTTGAGGTTTTTCATGTCAAACAGTCTCTCTTATAACTGTTCAAGCCTGAAATTTGTAGTGAAAAAAAGCACCCAGATGGTAAGTAATCCAATGCACATGGCTCGGTTCCAGCAAAACTTTATCTACAAAAACAGGCAGCAGTAGCTTGCCTTACCTTACCTATGGAGTAAGTAAGTAGTAAGTGTTATGTTCTCAATTCTATGCCTTAATAAAGCCCTCTCTTAGATCAACAGGAAAAAAAAATCACAATGTCAAGTTTGGTCTGTATACCCATGGGCAGTTCTCTCTCTGACAAGCAAACTACTGACCGCGTGTCTACAGACTGTATACAGGACTGGAAAGAAAAGGGATTATGTACTTTTCCCAGTGGTGAAATAAGCAACACAAGTGTGGTTTAGGTCATTCTCTAAAATGAAGATGAAGGTGGGGGTGGGCTTTCAGTAGCATGTTTTTAGGTTTTCTTCCCGTCTCATGTCAAAGGCTGATGAACCCAATAAGCTTGTTAATAATGAACTAGGTCAGAATGTATTTATATCAAAGCCACAAGGACATTCTAAATAGAATAAAACTGGTTTTATCAAAGATCTACAGGGAGCCATTGACTCACTGTAACAGTATACAATTTCATAAACCAAGTATGTTCTTGGTATGTTCTTCCGTATCTCCTGCACAAAAGTCAAGAGAAATCTCATGCACTCCTAGAAGAAAGTGCAGGTAGATTTTTAACTAACCTCGTGGTGGGCAGGGCCTTTCTAACAGTAATGGGACAAGGGTATATATTTTTTATTAGGAAACAACTTTTATAACTTTCTTTTCTCTCTCTCTCTCTCTCTCTCTCTCTCTCTTTTTGCTACGTTAGGAGGAGTCATCAACGCTCAAACAGAATACACTTAACCTCTTCTCCCTTCTGGAGGTGTGGCCAGGTTCCAAGAACCGGGGCTTGAGCCCGGAGACAGGCCTGCAGGCTGTGCGTGGAGGAAGCAAACAGGTAAAAAAGACACCACCACACGTTCCTGTAATGTCTCACCATCTCACCTTGAAAGTGCTTTTTTTTTTTTTTAAGAATGTGAAAGAGAGAGAGAGAGCAAGTGGGAGACAGGGCAGAGCGAGAAAGAGAGAGAACCTTAAGCAGGACCACACTCAGCACGGAACCCAATGTGGGGCTCGATCCCACGATCCGGGATCATGACATGAGGTGAAATCAACCGACTGAGCTCAACCGACTGAGCCACCCAGGTGCCCCAACACTGCTTCTGATGCTTTTTCACCCCAAGTCTTAGAGCCTTCACACCAACATATTACCTTTTAATGCTGA